TAAGCAGAGGAAATATATAAAGATTGGCTTTAACTCAGGTAGTGTTTTGTGCTTTTCATAATTTCCTTTTCCTCTTTTACTTTCAAATTTTTGTGCCTTCACACACATTACTGAAAATGTTTCAAATATGCCAATTTACTCCTGTTTTAATACGGGATCGTCAACATCTCATGGACTATTCTACCAACTATTAGGATTTTTATATGAGGATTAAAATAAAATTTTTTTTTGCATTTTTTTGTCGTCTGTAAATGATTCTTAAGAATATCAAATTTGAATATATCATCGTTTTCTAACAGTTATTTAAGCCATGTCTCACTTAATGTTGATCTATGACACACATAGTTTTTATTGTCGTATTCAAAAATTACAACACCAGACGACCATTTCTTTCATCCACTTATCCATGCATATATGCAAATGCAAACATTCTTACGTGCAGGTAGTTATATGTATATACTACACATATACATATATATATATATATATATATATATATATATATATATATATATATTCTTTTTTTTTTTCCTATTATTTTTTTTGCTATTTAAGCAGGATGTTTGCCATGAAACTCATGTCTAAACACACCCTATATGTCAATAGCATAAACACCGAGCAAGAGTTCAAAAAAAGCAGACATACCATGAATGTAATGTGTAATTGCTGTAATGCGTAACTCGAAACAAAGTCATCGACATACACTTATGCAAACATTTATGCCGTTAGCCGTTAGCAATCAAATGCATACATCTATACACATAATATTTATGAATACCATTTGCAAATACTAGCATTTTTTAGCGTAAACTCAATTTATCAAAGCTATACGTTAAACAAACATAAAACGCAGACACACATATACGAATGCTATAATGGCTATAGGAAACCGTCGCGTGCAAAAAACTAATCAACTACTCTACTGACCGGTAGTAACAATAAAGGAGCAACAAAGAAATGTGTGTTAGCACGTAATGTGTGAGAGGTTATGAAAAGTTGAACCGCATAAAACCTTTCCATATATATATATATATATATATATATAAAGGATCACACAAGTACTTTACTAACAATTCGCACGCACACCTCATACAAAAGATATACTGGCAGAATACCATCAGACACGTTGTGTATGTGAAATTCACTTGAGTTATGTCGCATACGTCGGCGACATCGAAAATAGTTTACCTCTTATGTTTTGCTTTTTCAAGTCGTCGTCTATGGGTGCCGTGTGTGCAAAATGCTATATAATAGTTTTATTAAAACAACCTACATGTATGTGCACGTATCTGCTTGATATATACATTAAGACTATATACAGAAAATTTGATATTTTAGTAATTTTTTACTATCGTACTATTTGTATATATTGTTCGCCTATTTGTTTATTCTACTCCAGTAAGTAATAATCAGAACACAAAAGTTGTTCAACCGATGAAATACTTGCATAATTGTAACTCAATCAACTCTATGATTAAAAGCTCAATTATTTGCAATTATATTTAAAGATTTTTTATAACTAATTCTCCTTCTCATATCCTCATTTCATTTTGCGATGATAAGCTCAATTATTGCTTATATATTTTTATTACGATATAGTAATGAAAAAAAAATAAATAAATATTATAATATCAATATATATTTCAAAGCAAATATAAAAAAATGTAAAAAAAAAGAAAGGAATGTTAATAATAAAAAAATATAAAACATAACATAATGCAAAAGATATTTAGAAAAAATATAATAACGATAAAATGTGAAATACAAAACTAAATAAATGAAAATATATAATATAATAACTAAAAAAAAAAAAATAAGAAAATAATATTAATGTATAATAATAAAAGAAAAATACAATATAAATATATATATTATTAAATTTTAA